AGGATTCGGGCTTTCGTGACGAGGATTTTGGGCTTTCGTGTGACGGAATTCGGGCTTTCGTGGGGAGGGATTGGCTGTCGTGGGGAGGATTTCGGAGTGTTCGTGGGGAGGCTTTTGGGCTTTCGTAGGGAGAGTTCCGGGCTTTGTTTGGGAGGATTTTGGCTTTCGTGCGGGAGGAGGCTTTCGGGCTTTCGTGGGGAGGATTTGGGCTTCGTAGGGATTCGGGCTTTCGTGGGGATTCGGGCTTTCGTGGGGGGGTTTCGGGCTTTCGTGGCGAGGGATTCGGGGTGGGGAGGCTTTCGGGCTTTCGTGGCGAGGCTTTCGGGCTTTCGCAGGGAGGGCTTCTGGTTTTGGTGGGAGGCTTTTGGGGGAGGGTTTCGGGCTGTGGTGGGAGGATTTTGGGCTTGGGGAGGATTTGGGGTTTCGTGGGGGTACGAGCTTTCGTGGGGAGGAATTCAGGCTTTCGAATCGATTTTATGAGGCTTCGGGCAGCCCCCTTAAAACGAATCGATTTTGCGAATCGAATCGATTTTACGAGATTGGATGTTAGGGCAGCCCCATTGAAGAAGGAGTTGTCTTGGGCGCCGAGCTGCGTTGGCGAACCCTAAATCCCGAAACCCTAAACCCAAAACACTAAACCCTGAACCCCGAAACCCTAAAGCCTAAATCCCGAAACCCTAAACCCTAAACCCAAAGTCCGGAAACCCTAAACCCTAAATCCCGAAGCCCTTTTTGCATCCAGGACTCTGTTCGACAGCCGGGAAAGGGCAACATTCAAAGGTAACCCCCAAACCCTAAACCCTAAAAACTCCCGAAACCCTAAATCCCGAAACCCTAAACCCTAAAACATCCCGAAACCCTAAATCCCGAAACCCTAAACCCTAAACCCCGAAACACTAAACCCTAAATGCCTAAGCCGTAAATCCCGAAACCCCTAAACCCTAAACCCGAAACCCTAAACCCTAAATCCCGAAACCCTAAACCCTAAAAAATACCGAAACCCTAAATCCCGAAACCCTAAACCCTCAACCCCGAAACCCTAAACCCTAAATCCCTAAACCGTAAAAAACCCCTAAACCCTAAACCCCGAAACCCTAAACCCTAAATCCCTCAACCCTAAATCCCGAAACCCGAAACCCCCATACCCGGAAAGCCCGCAAGCCTTGGGGTTCGGAGTGGTGATCATGGTCTCGCAGCCCGCCAGCCTCGAATCGAATCGATAGTACTATCCTATAGTATACCATAATATACCATGAAGAAAGCAGATCATGCCGTAATATACTATAATATACTATAATATACCATGTATAACATACTATGCATAATATACTGTAAGTGACTATGAAATACCGATATTCCACAATATACTGATATTCCACAATATACTATAAGAGGTTAGGGTTCTTGCTTCTGGCCTGCTGCGACTAATTAAGCCGCCAGGAGTTCAAAGTTCACAAGCTTATCCAACAAATTTCGTTTGTGCATTGCACCCACCTGCAGTGAAATGCCGCCAGACTCAGAGTTTTATTTATCAACCCATGTTCGCCATCAGCCCTCTCTAATAACAGAGGAATTGGATTAGCTGTTTCAGGCAACGCAATCCAACTCCGGATTGAGCGGATGAGCTATTCAATTAGGCTTAACACCACTCAGGTCATCGTTAACACTCAGAGCACGGATAGGGCAGCAATGCCAGCATTGCCGGTGTGGTTCGAGAGGGTGCGCAGCGTAAGGAACTTTCACCACAGCACAGCATGGCATGACTGATCTCATGAGGGACAGCTTCGAATCTTAGGGTTGTTTAGGTGTTGATGTTGTTTGGGGTTTTGGCTTTCGGGTTTTTTTCCTCCTGAACACTAGGCAGAGTGCAGAATACAGACAATAAACCCTGATAGCATGTTAAGGTATCTTGTACTACGATAGTAGCCTATTGTAGTATACAGCGGTGTTACTCTAGTATGCTATCGCTTAATATGGAATATTAGCGTATATAACATACTATAACCCTACTTCCCAAAATGGAGTACAAGGAAGCCCAGGGTCTTCAGTCAGCAGGGCTTCGGGTGTACTGGACGGGAGCAAGCGAGGCTCCAGAATCTAAATGAAAAATCTCTTATACCATGTTAGACTATGTTATACTGTATTATATGACAGTGTACTATATTATAGAGTATCTGAACTCCGAAAACCCAGAAAAGCTGGCTGAAATAGGTTTGAGATTTAGGTTTGAGGCTTAGGGCCTAAGAGTGTCCGGAGTTGAGGATTCGGGGCCTGGGATTTAGAGTTTAGGGTGTTGGGTTTAGGGTTCAGTTGAAGGGTTGAGGGTGTTCTGACTACTGTAAGGGGTGCTTCGTGCGAGATCAGCAGCGGGGATGCAGTCGTGCCATGGGTGGAATTTGCTTTGGCCGCTTTGGCCACATCCACCGCCAAGCTGGGGCAGTAGGACCTTTGTGCACCGGCCCGAAACAACCAACATGGCATAGAGCTCTTGACAAAATCTCCGGAGACTTTCCATCGTTGGCCCGAATGTCAGCTTGGCGGCAAGGACCCTCCTTTCTGGCCGCGGACCAAGTTCGCCTTGGCCACGTCCACGAAGCTGGGGCAATAAGACCTCGGCTCGTAAAGCCAGCCTGTCTCAGCCCTAAACCATGAACCCCAAACCCCATCCATCTATCCTTCCATCTTTCATCATTGAGGCAGGAGAGAAATTAGTTGTCTTGTTGCACCCCAAGGGGGGTATTCATGTATTTGGCCTCCGTGCTCTCCCAATAAATCGGGAGCCTCACGACTGGTACTATGCCAGAGTTCCAGCCGAAATACACACTTGCTTTGCCCTCGGCCCTGAAACACTATTACGAAACCCTCCCGCTGAAATTCAGAAAAAACGCTAACCGCTAAACCCCCCTAAACCTGTTAACTTCTGTACGATGCCTTGAATTGTGTAGGATTTGATTGGGAAGTCGAACACTTTGTCATGTCGTTCATTCGGGATAATGGGGTCAAGGATCTTGGCTCATACAGACTAGGATGTGTAACGAGTAGTTTAACCCTGTGTCCACGTGTAGCTACTAGCATAGCGTTTCTGCAGGGTCACGATGGCTGCAGTGCAGATTGCTGCAACAGTTACCTAGGGCAAGGAATGGCGGCTCAGCGGCATCGGTCCATTGTTCTGACCAGAACTTGTTTTGGCAGCTTCCGCCACCAAGTTGGGACAGTAGGACCTCGGGTCTTCGATTCTTTGGGAGTAACCCCGACTCGCACTCTGCTGGTGGCACCGAAACCTTGGCCGCCCTTGCCCTGTCCCAACACCTTGGGCGATTCAGCATCTCGGTGCCGACAAGGTGGCGCAGACCCGCGTGTTTGCACCGGGCTAGCTCTCGCTGCGTTTGCGAGCAAGCTGGGGCAGTAGGACCTTGGCTGACAGGCCATGATGTGTGTTTTCATAACACGTGCATTCATCCAAACAGAAAAACTCAAATACAGTACTCATCATTACCATCAACAAAAATGATGATTACAATGAAAACCGTGATACTTACTGATAACTAGTCTTCCAGTACTGGCAACCATAATAGTGCAAAAATGATTCCCTAAAAAATTAAGCACCATGGTAATACAGGGGCCTTGGTTATTGGACTAGGCATATAATCTACTACAATAAGGAAGGAAGGAACTGGAACCCTAAGCATTAATGCCCCTAATTAACCCCAAAACATTACACCCCAATCTAAAACTCTGCACCTTAGACCCTTTGGTCCCACTGCGCTCGAGCCTAAACCCAAAAACCCCGAGAGGACCTTAGCCCAAAGTCGGCTCAGTCGCGTGGAGCCCCGAGGCTGGACCTGACCGGAGTTCACGACCAAGCTGGGGCTGTAGGACCTGAGATGGGCTGAGGATTTGAGGGTTTTTAGGGTTTTTGGAAGGCTTTCGGTTTAGGAGTCAAGGGTTTATGGTTTTTTCATTCTGTGGGAGCTGGATATGCATGAGGATGCTTTGAGTTTGTCGCTTTCGACGCTCGCAACTCGTTTGAAAGTCCAGCAGAAGTTTAGGATTGAAGGTCTCGATATTGGTGGCTTCGAAGCCTCATGAAGGAACGTGGGCTCGAGATCTCCGCTGATGCACTCCATACCAGACGTACAAGGGTTTCAGCACTCACAACTAGGACAAGCCAGGCGAGGTCTATCCGGCACGTCGTACTTCCACTCAGCTTCACAGAAATACATTTCAGGCTCTAGGTTTTGGGGCAAGCAACCTCACCGACATCAGTCAGGAAGTTCAACTTTACAGTGCCTTGAAAGTGGCTTTTCCGTCAGGCTTTGCATGAAGGCCCTAAGCTCTCACCCCTCCAGCCCTCTTCCCGTTCAGATCTTGGCAATTGGGCGAATGGGAACTCAACCGCCAAGGGTGCCCAGGTGCAGAGCAGCAGGCGGCCGACGTGGCGGAGCATTCAGGGAAAGGCCTCCAGTCGGTGGATATGGGTTTCCTGGCTTAGTAGTGTGGGGCTTTGGGTATAGGGTTTTTGCCTCCTACATTGCTGAACGAGTCTGGGTATCGGGTTGTTTCCCTCGTAGTAGGGCTTGGGGTTTAGGGTTGCTTAGGGTTTTCGGCCTACGGTCAGACGTGAGCCCTCCTAGATTCCGGGCCACGCTCGGATACAGTACACGGAGGCTCAAGCAAGGCCCCAAACCTTCCAAACTCCGCAACTTGATACCCCCTTTGGATTGATACCGAGGTTCCCATCTCTCTTTCCAAAAAGCTCGCGAAGTATCTCTGCAAGCCCTGAACCCACAACCACAAAACACTTCACACCAACTCCTGAACCTTACACAATGCCGTGCCGCCGGGGTGTGGATCTTTGCGTGCGGACACGGGCCTGTTTGACTTGTGGGGTTCAGGTCTCGCTGCTTCTGCTTGAACTCGGCAAGGGTACTGGCAAAGTTTCTAGGTGTACTGATTGATGAATATCTGAGTACTGTTGCTTAGGGTAAGCCGCCTGCACGTAGGGGCAACCACGGAACGGTGAGCACTATCTTCGATATCCACCCTCCCGCAAGGAGCACGGCATGACCGAATGCATGCCTGTTCTGTCACTAAGTCACTAAGAGACATGACAGGGAACAGTCGCACTGGTAGCATTGTGCATCATGTTGCGAAGACCCTGGCGGCAGTTGTGTTGTTAGTGCACAACTTAATCACACCGGCGCCGCCACTCGCGATGTTGTTGACTTGAGCTCTGCATCCGTTTTTTCCGTGCTCTGCTTCAGAAGCGATCCCACCGCACAACCTTACACTACACATGAGAGCATAGAACAGTAGCTATACCATACCATGTGGGCAAGGTAATCGTGGCACGACAAGTACAAGCACAGCTATTCTATGCGAATGCCGAATGCATGTGCATCTGAATCGGCGTGCATGTTGATTCTATGGTGTAAGTTTGTGTGTATGTACGTACGTACGAACGCGTGCATGTGTGTAACAACGATGTTGAAAACACTTTTCGTTCCTTATGTTGGGTCTCTTCGACATCATATGCACATAAACACAGAGGCACCATGAAGCCTACAAAATCCTGAAGCGTAGAACGGCCCACGAAAACCGAAGAGGATTCCTAAAACCTAAACTCTCCATCTTCTCAAAGACAACAGGCAAACAGTGATCAATGCAAAAAGTGCGATTCATCCCCTTGCCGCCGAGGATCTACAACTCCGACGTCTGAAGCCTTATTAATGAAAGATCCCCTATACACGGCGCCAATATTTTCCGCCCTTCCGTCGGAAACCCTTTAGAACACCTTCGAAAGATATTGCCTGACCCTTTCTTTCGGCTTTTACATCAAGCTGCATACCCGGGAGCTCGCCAGTCCAGGCTGCCTTGCTCTGCTGGGCTGGATATGCCTGGGCTTCAAATGTCGGGGGGGGGCGGGGTGTAGTGCCACATTAGTCTCATTAGTCTTTCCTGCAATGCGTTTAAAGTGAGTTCCAGGTCTCCTTCTCGGAGAATGCTTCGGATTTCCAGTCCGGATCCCGGATGCAAAATCGGACATCCGAGAACCTTGAACCCGGAAATCACAGAAGCCGCGCAACCACCAATCAAGCCCCGACCACCAGAATCGTAAAGCCGGAACCCCTTCAACAATCCCCTTGCAAGTAAAAACATGCCGGCAGAATGCAACCACGACGGGAGGTCCTGGCTGATAACCCGGACGATGCTGCTGGGAGACGTTGCTCTGGTCCTGGAGCATTCCCATCACGCGACTTGGCTTAAAGCGAACTACAACAAGTCAGAGCAATGCGCGGGCGCATACCAGCCTGCAAACCGGCATTCTGAACTGAGAGGCATCAAGATGCATCAAGCCTCGCTTGTGGTTTGCACGGCCCAGCCTTGTTCCGAGGAGTTGCCATCATCTGCGAGTGCCCAGGTATCCTGGGTGGGCGGATCGTCGCAGGCCCCCGGTTCTGCCGGCATGAATTCCAGACTTGATGCCAACTTGTTCAGAAGCTCGATCGAAATTTTCCAGCAATCATGCCGGGAAACATACATGTTTACATTCCATTGGTCCTGCCGAGGTGCGGTCAAATATGACAGTGTCCCGGAACCGCAACCNNCCCCCCAAACAAAAAAACAAAAAAACAACTGGAAACCTCACGTGAATTACTGTAGCCCGGCTGCATCATGGCGCGGCCGGGCGTAGAAGGGATCCTGGCTGAATCCGGCGGCATGCTCGGGCAATAAGACCTTGGATGTTTAGGGTCTTGCCACATGCAGCAGCACGAAAGCTAATTCCTCACTGCTAAAATTTCGTAAATGAACCCGTGCCTCGCGGTGAACGTCCCGCAATACCGTTTCAACACCTAACTCTCAACTCTCCCATGAAAACCTGCACCTGAACTGGAATCCTGATTATCTCATGCACCAGCAACGTCTGCCTCGACTGGCCCAGTGGCAAAGAAGCCGGCTGCCGTGGCGGTGCGTTCATGGACTGACCTCGGGCCGGCATCAATATCAACCAGAAAGTAAACGAACGCTGCTCTAGTTACTAAGGTCACTATAGGAGGCAGCAAGTCTCCTCCTGTCATGTTTCGCAAGCGAAGGGTTGCGGCTTGGGAAACCCGGTCGGGTAAGGAAACGCACTGACCTGCAACTCCAGTGCTTGAAACCCATTTTGAATTCGAGGCCACGATACCTGGTGGCATCTGGGCTGGTGCCCGGCCGCGAGAGATCGGCTCGGCCTGAACCGCGCAAGATGCAACTACTGCAGGGTTGGGTCTGAGAGGTATTCTTTGGTGTTGAACTCTTTTTGAGCGTGGCCGACAAAAAGGTTCCGCTTCCATGCGGTTTTCTTGAGCAATCTAAACAGCACAAGTCAACAGCGCCAGGAGCTGTCCAGATTGTTGTGGATCTGGCCACAGTTTTGGATCGTGGACTGAATGCACTGACCCCACAGAAGCTTCGCGGCTTCGCGCTTTAGCACGATGCCTGCACTGCAGGCGGCATGGAATACCTTGGTGGCACCAGCCGCACTGATCCTATGCACGAGGTCTGTCGAGCCAACAAGATGTTCTGTCAAAAGTTTCCGCGGCATGGATGAATTCGAGCCATCCTTCACTCTTCACCGGCCGGCGTCACCCCTGCAAATGACGAAGCTAGAATGGCCCCTGAGTGCCGAGTTGCAAGATTACTCCCCGGTAGCGTGACCTGTGCAACTGCTTGCATCAGCCAAGCCACGAGGCTCCAAGAGCAGGTGGGAGGCGGTGCGACCTTCAAGGGCTTCCCTCCCCCCCCCGCCCCGGAGCTACCTAAACCGTACTCAAGCAATGTTCGAGCTTTGGTTGGGATTTCAACGTATGGAAACTCAACCGTTTCGGAATTGAAGTCAACTCCGTATACGCCTGCTGTACCAGCAAGTGCTGGTCGAGTGTGTCATGCACATCGGACTACAACTTGCAAGCCGTACTCAGTATCTCTGTGACTCAAGATTCCTCAACAGTGGTCTGGTCTAGTGGCTTCAATGGGCGACCGCCTGCGTCACAGTGCAACCCGACATACATGCAAGCCAATATGTTACGAAACCCGGCCTGAGCGGCGTCGGGATGCAAGCAACAAAAGGTGCGGCACCAGTTCCGGAGTTGACCTTGACGCAGTATAACATCATTACAGCACTGGCTGTCGCATGTGTGACCCCTTGCTAATAAAAGCTTCGAGGTTACTGCCGTGCCGGACGGGTCTGAAGCATAAGGATGCGCGGGGTTGTATTGTATTCTACTTGCAGCTCGTCCGGCCTTGCTTCCGGTGTTTTTGAAGATTGATGTTAGGCTCTGCTTGGTAAAGGTGAGTTGCTTTGTTTTTTCTTGCCCGGCCTTGCCATGCCACATCTTCGGCGAAGTTGGGGACATGATGCGCTTGTCGATGCTTCACAAAAGATTCGGGAATTTGTACCACACCGTAAACGTTGCAAAAGTCACTCATGCATGCACCTCTATGAAGTCGCGCGTCCTGCCACCAATGTTGTTGTTGTGCCAAACATATTTACCCTGCTGTGATTCGCCAATGCACAAGTCGAGAAATCAGCACAAAATGTTGCAGCATGCCGTCAATGCTCCATACCCCTCCTGAAACAACAAAGCCTGATTCGTCCCCGCGAAACAAGTCGACCACGAAAGCACGCACAGCTGCGAACAACACCGGCATTGACCATGAGCAAGCTGAACAAGGAGCCAGCCCTGTGGAGTGCAGAACTCCGCCGACGATGTTTATTTTCAATTTGTATTTCGCACGAGGACCGCCAGCAAACTATGTCATGCGCAAGACTGCCGCAATCTTTTTTCTGGCTCCTTTTCGAAAAAGCTCTGCTAGCCGCGGTCGCAGGAGACTTGTCTACCGAACGGACCACAGACTACCTGGCTCTCAAGCCTGTTTCGGCCGGCGGGGCGGCATCGGAATTTTGGCAGCTGTCAATTCGGTGGTCAGCATTTTTTTTCCCACACGCCTTTTTGCGTCCGCGAGGTACGAAACGTTCCGGTGCAGCCGAACCAGCGCGCTACGGGGTGCTAGCGCGCCTCCGAGGCATGCAGCTCTGGCCCGGGCCCGTCACCAAGGTCAGCGGCAGGAGGCAAGTCAAGCACGGAAGCAGCGAGAGCGCGCTTTGTGGCGACTGCGAGGAGCCCCGACCAGCGCGTTACGCAAGCAGTGTAGCAGCCGGGGGACGGCAGCGGCTCGGAGCCGCGCCAGAAGGCGCAGGAATTGCACAACTTCGGTGCCGAACCTGCCGCCAACTTCCGTACCAACGACGACTAGGCCGTTTTTGTTTTTTTTTCACGGACCTTTTTGCGACTGGAGTGCGGCGGTCCCTGTGCAAACTGCAGCTACACGCTGTTTTTTGCGAGGTCAGCGTCCTCCACCCCCCAGTCCAAGGCTGCAGCTCACGGACGCGGGGG